AGGAGTAAATTATATTGATGATTAACATTAGATTATGAAATATTCGTTGATAGATATATGATGTAATGTGACATTCATTTGTTTTAACGGCATCTACATTTTATAGACAGCAATTGATTGACTAATACGGTGATACAGCGTGAAAATGATTTCATTACTAACAATATCTTCAATTCTGTTACTACCTCATTTATTTAAGGATCAACATTTTTTCATCACCCTCAACGCTACGAAAGCAAACAAATTGTTGAGTAATGTTATTGACCATGGAACGCATATCGTAAATTTACAATTTCCCCCATTTGATGACTCTATCTGCGTTACTTGATTCGTATGCGATAAAACTGAACACATACGGTTCGTGTTGAACGTAACAACTTGGCCGTTAGCAACGGTACGTGGAGTAGACAAGCGGTGACAGGTAACCTTTTCAAAACATCGTTTTTTACCCCGTGTGCCATCAATCTACACTGCTCTGTTTTGCAGCGATTAATGATTAACACACTTTTGTAGCACGAACAATACACACGCATTACTAACATTCGCCGTTATATTTGGCGAACATAAAAACATCGCTTGTTGTTTCACATGTAAGCATCAGAGTACACGTTCGCCTTATCAATTCAATCGACGAACACAAAATGAAAAGCTGACTAGTATTCTTTTTACAGCTTGGCGATGTTCAGACAAGATGCTCAGATTGAATTCTGACACAGGGTCATGGTAATTTTCTTACTCCAATTCACAGATGGCCTTGTGGTAGTAATAATGGCTTCATATTATTTTTCCCCGCAAAACGGCATTGATGAAGTTTCCGGGGTCTATTTAAAGAAAAATACGTGGCATGAAATTGGACATTAATTAAGACATCAATGATATACTAGTATACTAAAAGCTTGTGTACTGTAATATATAATTTAATTTGATTCTGGTCTTTTATGAATCTGTGTGACTTTTTTCTCGGTATGTCTTGATTATCTTGCGCCTAAATACTAATAACGTCCAATTGCTGTCTAATAATTAGATGAAATTCAGTGTCAATAAATAGAGAGAGTGGTTCGTCAGTAACTTTTGTTTGAAGAACCATTTATTGTGCGAATTTTCATACTTCGTACAAGTATATCGATTTCGATATGTTTGTGCTTCCGATAATTCAATCATTATGAAATCGACTGGAGAGGATTCTAGCTCTGACTTTAGCTTAAGATCATGTAGTACATGTTTTTATCAGCCTACAAATCGATACATTATTAATTAAACAACTATTACTGGATATTAGTATGGATATTGATGTATTTGTTTAAACAATGCAGAGTATCAATAAATAATATTGTGATTAAGAATTTACCATACTGCATCATGGGAATAATTCAGAGACATACTAAAGATAGTTCAGATGAATGTTTTTTTTTTCGATCGGAACAGCCGAATTTAGGCATGCTAGTTCATCCAAAACTATGAAGTTTGCGAACATTTTGTCGTCGTTCAAATGTTTTATTGGGAACTTAGTATGCTGTGATGACAGTATCGTTAAACTGGCGTTGATCAAATCACCATACATTACAATAAACACATCCAAACTGATTTTGTGGTTATCTCTGCTTCGGTGGACTCTAAACGATGGGGCTAGTATATGTCTAATGTTTTCAGTTCGTTGTTTCGATATCTACACTGACCGTAGTCAAGATTCAACTTACATAATATTTTATAATAATAATTTATCTTATCAGTTTAATGTGATGAGTAGCTCTTATTTTTATCACAACTCAAAAGTGAGTAGAACTTCACTGAAAACCCCATAACATTCAGATACTGCCTCCCAAATTTGCTTTCCCTTCATCTGTTGCTTGGCAACGACCCACTTCCTGTGTCTATTTGCCATCTTAGCCAACCAATGGAATGGAGAAACTTGTCTTATTATCACTTTGTTTAACATATGCGTCACCTTTATGTAAATCCATGAGTGGACCACCTGGCTTATCTAAAAAAAGATGCGCGCTCGTTACACAAGTACGTATACATTTCATTCTAAAGAGCTATGCGAGTACTTTCATCAGAAGCATAGGGAATCCCATTTATCGTCTATCGACTACGTATTTCGTGAGTAATCCAATTGACGAATCAAACGATATCATTTTGCTTGGATGTATATGTACCACTGAGTTTTAGGTTTTTAGAAGTTACAGGTTATTTTATGGTTTGACGTTTGGAGACAAATATACAGATACTGTAACACACGGTCTAACGTGGTTCTACTGAGGTTTCCCTCCAGTTATGACTCAATTGTTAGATGGTAGTTAGTGGCTATAGTGACCGTTGCGTGAATTCTTCGCTGATAAACACCGATATACTTATCTCAGCAAAAAACCCTGTGACTGTACGGTGATTAACTCTTCAGTAGATCAATCTGTCAAGCTGCACAACAAGCCATCGTAGAATATGTATGGACGATCACCGTCACCTATTCATCAGAAATCTTTAATTGTTGCTCTGATACTGGTAAGTGGTACTTTGTGCTAACCACGTCTTAAACTTGCATTTATTCAATACGGATTTGCGTCATTCATTTAATGAGACCATAAACAACGTGTTCAGGGGTGTACCATTAAAGATGCGTTTCCCGGCGTCTGATTTAGTAAATCTCTGAATTGCGGAAACGTATGAAACGGTGGATTAAATAACTGTCAAATCGTGATAACTATGAACGAGACGGGTACTGGTTACACGTATGTCTATGGAGAGAATACACTTAATGATATTAGTGAAAGCAAAAAAAAATCATTAAAGGGGTTATTCCAAATACGAAAGGAACAGAAAAGTGATACAATTCACTGCTAACCTTCCCCGACTGTTTTCTTTGTATACTTTCAGATTTCCTTTCCACTATCAATCAGCGTGACAATAATTGAAGGTCAGTTTTGTATTTGTTATTTATGTACAGTGTCAACTCTTCAATAAAACACCGCTATAGTGACTGTAATGTATCATTAGGAAACACCGTTTAAGGGTTTGTTTGTTGTATTGTGATGTCGGAGTCTGTGATGTGATAATATATTGCTCCGAGGCCACAGAAAAGACAGCAGGTCAACTCAATATCTCTGTGTTCGTGAGAAATATCACATTCAGAAAGGGAATTTATGTAGATAGCCAGAGATTTGTATTTGAGTCGATGAAAAACCTTGATTAGTGGTATAGGTGCACATCTATACATAGACGATGCTTTCATGCTGATTATTTAGGCAATGTTTATTTTTGGTATAAATCATATTGGAAATATATCTTAGATTGAAGTTATGACAGTCTTGCTGACAAATAATACAGTGTTTGGTGTACATATTGAAATTTATACATTCTAGCCGTATGTAATGCTAATTCTGTTCTCGTGTTTGGTTCAGTGCTGATAATCCTGGGAAACACATTAATGTTGGCTCGTGCTGGGAGTATTGAAGGAATTGGGACATTTCTGAAATTATAAAATGTGATTGGCTAAAACGAAATTAAAAATAAAATAAATGACGTTTAACTGCACTTGTTAATTTGAATTAAACATTTTACACAGATATCGATGATTCGTTATAGATTAATCGTGTCACAAAACGATTTTCTATTAATTACAATGATTAGGAAACATGGTCATAAAATGTAGACTTGATTCAGTTTACGCATTCTATTCCAGGCGGGAACACAAATATGTCATCATTTAGCAAGTTACAACACCACTGAGTGTCTACAGTATAACAATGTTTATTTCTGGGCATATTTTGTTTTACCAAGGGCACAATAAGAACCTCAGATAACAAAGTTGGAACAGGAGTTATCCGGTTTGATATGTAAATCAGGTGTAAACAGGGAAAAAACGAAACCTTCTGGGGCCGTCAATGACAGAAATGTAATCGTGACCTGGAACCCAAATTTTAGAGGCAGCGAATATTCAATATTTAAAAAACATGAACAACACGTCGTACGCTCACTGCATCGTAAAGACACCATGAACTTGTTGACTTGTGTGACATGAAGATGAGTAACTGGTGTTGTCTGCATTGTTCTCAAATGTAATCTAGTATTGTGTATTATTACTGTCTAAAGTTTTTTTTACGTTTGCCTTGATTTGAACAATATTCGTTTCTTGAAAGTGCTTTGATTTACCATCGATTGTACATGTCTGAATTAGAATCAATTATGGTATAAACAGAATATGTCGCGAATCAGTATATTGCGCATTTATCATTGGTCGCGCGGGAGGGGGGTATATTTGCCAATCACATTGACGGACTGCATGGCCATGTAAAGATTACACGTCATACAGTTGTCGTTCTAATTTCGACAATGTTTAGTGAAAAAGAGAGAAAGAAATTCACAACAGATGATGTCGTGGCGGTCACCTATGAGAAGGATCGGGGATTGAATTGCACTAAACCAGGGTTGTTGCAATCAGGTCGCCAGTTATAGGTGATTGACTATCAATCAATGTCAATTCGTTGACGCAATTCGTAAAACAGTATGTAAATGCAGGGTAAATTGTGGGAAGTGTTATTAAACTATTAGCCATATGCTTTAATATTAGAAAAATAAATTGAACTCGCGTGTAGTCGATAAAACTGTCATACCACTCTCGTTAGGCCCAGAAACATATGCTAACTATTTATACATTAAACGATCGTTGCTAACCTGTTTAAGACGCGAATAATGGTCGCACCATCCGTCGTTGCTATGGACGTAGTGCTTGTTCTTAGGCGTGAAGCAATTTCTTTTGCGCAATTTAAAATATGAGCATTGAGAAATATTAGATCATGTAACCGGTCATATGCTTTTAAATGCATTTAATTATTAAAATGTCGTTTCAATCAACTGAAATATACACATTTACGGAAATGTATTAGCTAGCTGATGTCTGTTGCAAACTAGAATATAGTTATTTCATTTCTGATATGTGAAGTACTATTAGACTTGTTTTCCCCGTTAAAGGGTTTGAACAATGTTCCTTTTTCAAAGACAGCAACATGCCGGAAACACTAAAACTACGAATGCGTGTGACAATCTTTATGCGAGGAGGTAACGAATGAGCAGTGTAATCTGTGTACATCCCGGGATAATAACTAAAACGTTGATGGACATGTTCTTTTTTTTATTTATTTTTGGGTGAATTTACTTATGGCGTGAGCTGAATATGAACAAGGTAGATGTCATGTCGGTAAGACGCTCGGGCATTGAGTTAGGTTTGAATAATTGTACTCCTGTATCCGACTCTCAAGTGCTCAGTATAACAACTCACGTCAGTGAAAACAGTGACTATTTATTTATTTATTAATTGCCTAATTACAAAGGAACTAAGTAAAGTGTAAATACCTAAGATGCATGTGCGATTTACGCGTGTCACCATAGTGATAGTATTTGACTTTACAGACATTCTGACAAATATTACGTAAATTACCCTGTTAACTTAAAATAAATCAGAAATCAAATTTATTTCAGTGTGTTCCTTAAAATTGTAGAAATTGAGATTTTGACAATAAAAAGGATTAAAGGAGCCCGCGAGGATGCATAGAGCTGCAAATTGCATCAGTAGCCAACATAAAGACACGTTGGAGTAGGACATTAAGTCAGTGACATGACATGTTACGACAGCACGCCCTTAAGCTGTTTCATCAGTCTTATGATGATGAAATGTAAAATTTGTTGCTGTGGTTACACTGAAATATAACAATATAAAAAGTTAGTCTGAATTTAAATACTCAACCTATGATCACTGTCATAATATTCGCAATGCGACTAACCATTTTGAGTATGAGTGCTTATGTTGCATGTTGCTGGAACGGAGAGCACAAAACAAATAGTCTGATGCACTGTCGTCTGTCTGTGAGTGTGTTTGCTCGTATGTATATATGATATATGATTCTAGTATACTGCATTAGCATTATTACTCACTATTATATGCTGGTAACATGCTACGTCATCATATACGTAAACTTTATTTTCTAGACATGACATCACAATGACGTCAGAACTAATTGCAGGATGTACACAATTTCTCCATTTTAATGTCAAGGTTTTGAATGTTTTGAATGAAAAAATGGGTAAAAAATGAAAAAAATACTATGTTGCTGGAAATAACAGTTTATTCATTGAAATGTGTAGTCGTTGAATCTTTCAAATACAATGTTTGAGTTTTGAGAATAATGGACGATGTTAAACCCCGCCATTGACGCACAGTGATATTGAAAGTCCAATCACAACTCTGGCATAATTTTAAAATATTCGCTGGCTGTGTTACACTTGAACATTGGACATTTTCACTTGATGAGTAAATGAATATATCTAGTTAAGAGACGAAAATACTTGTACCGCTTTTTGCCACTATTGTCACGAATATCATTAAATCGCCAACATAAATATGGGAAACATCCGGGCTATCGAACCCTGTGATCCACAACAATGATACATTTGAATTCACAAATGTAACTTTTGTTTTCAGATGGTTTGTACTATATTTTTTTCCATCCATATAATGATAAATACATATCCCATAACTCCATGAAAAATATACACACAATAACCACATGGTGAATTTACACCCCATAACCACATGATAAATGTACACACAATAACCACATGATGAACATACGCATACTAACTCCTTGATAAATATACACAAAATAACCACATGGTGAATATACACCTCATAACCACATGATAAATATACACACAATAACCACATGATGAACATACACATAATAACTCCATGGTGAATATACACAAAATAACCACACGAGGGACATACACATAATAATTCCTTGATAAATATACCCACAATAACCACATGATAAATATACACACAATAACCGAAGTGTGCAGATACACACAATTACTCCATAGTAAATATACATCCAAAACCTATGACAAATACGTACGACAATATCGTGATAAATATACACCCCATTATAAATATACACACAACAACCACATGATGACCACATACACCCATGACCTATGACAAATACGTACGACAATATCGTGATAAATATACACCCCATTATAAATATACACACAACAACCACATGATGACCACATACACCCATAACCTATGACAAATACGTACGACAATATCATGATAAATATACACCCCATTATAAATATACACACAACAACCACATGATGACCACATACACCCATAACCTATGACAAATACGTACGACAATATCGTGATAAATATACACCCCATTATCAATATACACACAACAACCACATGATAAATATATATCCCATAACACCGTCATAAATATATACACAATAACCCCATATTTGGATTTATCCATGATTGCCTACATTTAACTTGATTAAGGCCTTAACATACTATGAATATTTTGCCTACTAAGTTTAATTACAAATTTAATTACTAAGCATGATCTTAAACAACATAAATATGCAATAACTATTATATCTACCGATGTAGTTCAACGATTTTCGTAGTTTCCATTTTGTGTTTATCACGTCATATGTTGTTTGCAAAAACGTTTAACCTTTTCCGGAAATGTTAGTCACCTAACACTCGGGGTATGCTAGCATATTGTCATACGTAACCAGTGACACGTTCCGTAATTGCGTCGCGCGATTGCAATTAGATCGTGTCATTCGTGTGCTAGTTGAACACTCCTACAGTAATCCATCATTTAGTGTAGACAGGACATCCATTGAAACATGTGACTAATAGAGAAGCCCCGAATGCACCCGGGCCCCCGACAATTCGTCCATTTTTACATTCAATTGGTTTAAATGAGCTTGAAAACCAGTTATCAATTACAATATTGACCGCCATAGTAGCCCTTATTGCAATGTCCAATTTCGTATACAAAATAGTTGCTAAATGTAGATGCAATTAAAATGATAATGCCCTAGGAGTGCGTTTAGCGTTTAGATACAAATCGACGTATCTGCACAAGTCGCTAATATCATTGCAACAAGCAAAAAGATGCGCGTTCGAATATTCGGCTTCGCTATTGATTGTTTCATCTTATTTCATTTGCTAACGCTAAGTAGTTTTCCAATGCACGTGAAATCACAATTACTACGGCCTGTAGTCATATTGAACACCGGCGATTCCCAGAAATCTTCAAATATTTTCTCAATTCTGACTTACGAATAGTTATTTTGTAATGACTTTTCAATCAGATTTGGCATTGGCACAGTCGATCATAAATTTGGGCTCAGCAAAGTGTTCAGACGCAATTGTTTCGAGTTGTTTTGCGGACTTGTCGCCGTAACTCAAACACCGGTAAAGACATCTAAGACATGTCGTTTTTGTAGCACATTATCTTGCAAAACAAATTTAACAGATTATAAATTTAGCGTGACTGGACACGTTGCAACTTCTCTGACTGGGTGCAAAAATGCTTGAATTTCAGTTGTTCATTAATAATACCTTAATAATCAAATGTGTGAAGCGTTTCCCATGCACATCTGCTTCCTTAATAATAACTAATATAGAATTTCTTAATTACAAATCAATTTGTAATGCCTCCCCCCCCCCCAGTAGACAACTTAAGGTGTTTTGTTGAAATATTCCACACCTTTGGTGCAATATTTGTACAACCGTACATGTAGTATGTTCAATGGGAACATGTCGGGCTAGATACGCTGTTATTCTTTGTTTCATAAAAAATCCAATGTACTACATTTGGCTTGAATTTAAGTTATACATGTATATATTACTGTCTGTGCTGTGTGTAATCTAGTGTTTAACGTAATGAACTTTGTGTTGTTCTAATGTGAAATACAATTCTTGGAATGTGAGAACGAGTCGTAGACTGCAAATACCTGTGGCGCCATATTCGCATCGTTGGTGGATTGATTGCAAGCAAATTGGGTAAACGGGGTTCAGATGAGATCACGGTGCGAAATTAATATTGATCAGAAATTGACGCTGCATCTTAATAGTTTTACAGTAACTTTCATGATATATTTCACCTGTAGGAAATAAGCATATATTTGACTCTGGGGTGTTATTAATAAATACAACGGACGCCACATGGCAATATTCCTACTTAGAAATACCGCTAGTCACAACACCAGCTAGCCACGGCATTAACAATACAGAATACGAAAACTCTACTATCGGAACGACCCCGTTAACAATAACAGACTTGACAACCAGTTCTTCAAATGGCACTGGGACGTCTTTAAACGCTACCGCTCCCCCGCCAACAGAATCCAGTCCAGCACGGACCGTTGAGATATACGATGGTTATTTTACGTCGCACTCTTTCGAAGACCAGTCTCAGAAAGAATGGAATTATCTAATCACGCATTTTCGATTTAACGGGACTCTAGTCATCGATGGTAGCGTAGAGGTACAGATTATCGGTGAACACTCGCTCTCAATAGAGAGTGAGACCGGTGATATCACCATTAACAGGAACTTAATTCTTGACGGCGATATCGGATCAAACGAAAATTATATAGATTTCCTCGGTGGATATGCAGGTTAGTCATGATTGATCATCATTTGTGTGTGTGGATGATGAATTATTATACCTGTTTCCAGAGAGATTTTATTAATTCCATCATAGTCGTATAAGACCTGCTACAATTTTTATTTTAAAATATGTATAATGTTATTTTACATGCTAATGTTTGAATCACATGTGACATGCATTAATATAGCGTATGACATCGCGTATTACGTACAATAAAGGAGCGCGTGAAATTAGCTCAACGCCAATCACCCATGGTAGCTACTTCATTTAAATGTCTTATTATAGCTGCCCACGTTTCACCAGGCTTAGCCACGATAACTGGTCATGCGACCACACGAACACGGTTCCGCCAGTTCTGCAATGTCATTGACATATGATCACGTGACATCAACGAAATACATCTAGAATTTGTTATAACTTACAAGACGTTTTTAAGCGACTGTGTGAAAAAGCGCGAATTCAGTCGAGCGATGTTACATTTGGCGGAATTTTATTCACGCAATGCATTAGGGACAGTGCACACTGACATGTCGGAGGGTGGGGTCGTTTATGTATAATATCGACGGGTGAGAGCAGCATACAATTGTACAAATGATAATAATTATGTAAATACAAAATATATATATAAAGTTGTACGGTATATATGTGCCGTACTAGAATGCAACTGATGACACGTGCTTTCGATAGATATAGCACATTAATAACACGTGATATACGCATGGCAATGCATGGTTACAACTTTCACCGCCATTCTTGGCTATCTCTATATTTAGGTAATCGAGGACCCGGAAGTGGATACAATGGAGACTTTCCTGGCGGAGGTGGTCATGGTGGCTACGGTGGTGGGTGGTACAATGACAACGGCACGGTGTATGGCGGTGCGTATGGAATTAACAACGATCATGACGAGTTGATATTATTGGGAGGCAGTTCTGGTATGGCACTGTCATATTGTTAGAATCTACATCCACATATTTTAAATGATTAGTGATTATGATGAATATGAATATGAAACCACATGATATAAATACTGTAACGTGTGTTTTTTTTTCAATATTTTAAATTCGTTTTATGCATGACATAAGATACCAACAATTTAATCAATATGCATGACTTGTCACTCGAGGGGACTCATAAACTAAATAAAACTTTTAAATAATACATTTTTACCGAGATGAAATCGTGATGTGCACGGGTAGGGTAGACGAAATAATCTATAAATTAATAAAATGCTATTATGTTTTACTCTGACCCAATATATTAAAGGTATTGGTGTAAAAGAAAATGATAGTTACTAAAATATTTTCCCGAGAATTGATGACAGCATGTTTCTGCTTTGAAACCATTCAATTCAATGATTAAGACAACTTCCCATAACTTCAAACTTGTGTGGTGATAAAGGGTGAACAATATCATATGTGTTTGATATTATAAAGACAATACCATATTGAAATGATTTCAGAATCTGGATTGTAGAAAATGGTTAAAAAACGAACAATAGTATTTTTGTACATCACAGTTGCGCACTGTTGAATAATGCTGCAAAGAGCAGTGTTATACTAATTTACAAATTGAATACTGCAATGTAAAAATAAAATACCTATCCATAGATTTTTGAATAAAAGTGTTATGGGGAAATGTTTTAGTCGAAGAATGAAAAACAAACGCTTCATAACAATCGACAAAACTATCCACAAAAACAAAACAACTAACTATTACACTACACTACACTACACTACATTACATTGGAAAAGTTATCAGTTACATCCGTTAATGTAATTTCGTTTTACATACCCGTAAATCAAAAATCACACTACACTACACTACACTACACTAAACTAAACTACACTACACTACACTACACTACACTACACTACACTACACTACACTACACTACACTACATAGTCAAATCAGTAAGAGAAATGTATGGTGAAACAGTATACATGAAGTGAAGTCAGGTATTTTGAAAAGAGTGAGCAAGATATTTTCGTGAAAGTAGAAAGCAAAGGCCATTTCACAAATCGAATATAGCAGAGACCGCGATAAGAAAATAAATATCTATTCAATACTGCGATTAGGAATCAAACACTTGACCAGACTCTACACACGTGCAAATGGTGTATTTGTTCACTAAATAACACACGCTTTGTATTACCGATCGTTTCTCAATATCAGTTTAGTCATGCGTTCTCTCGCTTGCACGTGAATAAGTGGATGTGAACACATACACTGGTGACGAGGATCTTCCCTTTCATGAGAGTATCTACTCTGTACAAGATTGAATATCGAATTTCTGTCCGATAACATCTCTCAGACTAAAGGGGTTATTGCATCGGCATTCATTCACAATCAAACCGCACGTATGCGCTAACACCCTATCAATCATTTTTTTGTTTTTCAACAGGGGGAGTACGTGTCTCAATTGATGATAACTCAACTGAAGTACGTTACGCAAGGGGTGGCGGAGCGATAGAGTTAAAGAGTCCGGGAATCGTAAGAATAGGTATGTTTCATTCACCATGCATATTGCTTATGTTGCCTTCTAATACCAGTCACAAAGCAAATATGTGCACTTTACTATTAGCTATCCGTGTATAAAATAATATTTTTTTGTTGTCAAAGGATATTTGTTGGGGGAATTTAAACTTAATTCCTGATAATCTCAAGAAACATCAAGCACAGAAAGATATACAAATAATTATTACCTATTGGAAGTACTAAGAATTGATTTATTTCAAGTGGCACTTAAGTACTGGTGTCGATATCATCTTTCTAAAACCACTGTCTTGATATGGATAAATCATAGTTTGCAGTTAAAGTAAAATACTTGATCTGAAAGTGTGAGTCAAAATGTGGTAATCTGCTGTTATCATCGCTGTAATAGCGACGACTGAATACAAATGAGATTCGTAAAGCTATGGCAATAGCATCGGCCATACACGCTTTCAGTAAATTACAAACTCGTGATGCGCCAGATTCTATTATAGCCCGAATAAAGCAATCTCAACACAAAGGACGTACTCACAAAGCTTTTAAGCCCCGGAAATTTAATCTTAAATTGGCAATTTACCACTTTTCAAGAAGAATAACTAAGTCACTGTGAAAGCCAAGTCCATTTGGTTTAACGGATTTCCTCCAATGAGAAGTTGTGATTCTAACTATACAGTGGCATCATAACACATAGAGGATGGTATGAGCAAGATGTATCTACAATCTATGGTAACTATGGTGTTAATACTTACATGGGAATATTCTTAGCTCTCAAGTGTTGATCTTACGAATCAGCTATGACCCTTTGTGAAAAAATTTCGCCGTTTTTTAACTGAATGTAATATTGCTATATTTGAAACATAACACACATTTATTTCGTGTAATTAAAACAAAATAAAAACACATACTTATAAACATCATATAATTTACTATTTCCATAGTTTTCTCATATCGAAAATTTCTTTCGTCAAAGGTGGACGAATTTCTGCCGTGGGGCAGTCTGCCTCGCAGTCAGTCAATTCCACATATCAGTGCGCGGGAGGTGGTGCCGGTGGCAAAATTCGAATAGACTCCAGCGCAGTCGAACTCCTATATAATGGGCAACTGTATGTTGGTGGAGGAGACGGTAGTTTTGTACCCGAAAATAATACATACTGTGGATGTGGCGGAGCCGGTGGTGTCATTGAAGTTTTGGTCAGCGAAGAGGCAAATGGATACCTACCAAGAATAGAGAGAGATGTGCCCGCTGGCCTTGGCTTTCCACATAATGGTAACAGAGGATATTTGTCTATTAAAGGTACATCGTATCCTTATCACGATTATTTTTGTTGATTTTGGAGTTGGATTAAACTTGTATATTTCCTCTGCCGCGGATTTCACAAATGTCGTATACAATGTTCTTTGAAATTGTAGGTAGACTGAATGCATATATACAACATATCATTACGTGAACTGCATAAAAGAGGACATAATTATCCCACATTTAGAATCTGGATTATTTTACATTAAGCGTCGGGAAAAATACTAGTACAGAATGCGCGGCGTTCACGGCCGTCACGGCCACACACTTATCTTTTCTGCAAAATACTATGAAAATCATATCTCAGGCACAACTAACCTATCATAAAATATTTGAGTGTTCCAAGAACTCCGAGACTGAATAACTTATATAAGTGTGGGTAGCAACATTCTTAATGATTATTTTGTTTAACGTTCAAAGCAAATAATGGTGTTGGTAACGGCGGTGGCGGTGGTGGGGGCAATAGCGGTGGCGGTGGAGGAAGTGGAACCTCTGGTAGGTACAAGGAAATTACGTCCGAGTAGTTTCTTATCAAGACCATTGGTACGTTACTAATAGTAATAAATGTAGCACGGTTTTGTCTGAAATACATATGGACTTCTTTCATCTATAATAACAATTTTTGTATTTTTCACGCAGGCAACAATTGCCCGACTGTTAATCCTATAGGTGTTACTGCAACAGCATCGCCAATTCATAGACATTGCCAAAATGTTTTAGAGTGTGACATTCTAGCGCAGGTGAGAAATAGTATATTAGATATTTGTTTTACAATTCCTGTACTTAATAGTTAGGTTTACTATCAACTAATTAACCTCGAATTGCACCATGTGTACCATTACTACATGTCACTGTTACATTCAATAATATCATTGCAACCATATTACGATTTTGTTTTCTTTTTGTGTAATAGGACGTTTAAGCCCGTCATATAAATGTTGTAGTTTTTTATCTGTGTCTGTGTGTTTAGCGTATGGGTACGCCAAACTTGTATAAACTGTCAAACTTGAGTAAAAACTCTGAAACGTACAGCACGGGTTTCCAGGGATGTCGGAACACGTACCTAAATGGAACCTTCATCACAAATCAGTGCTAAGTATTGTGCATTACGATATCGATTACAATCGAACGAGACATGATCACGATCCTTAGTACTTAGTACCAGTGTAATTTAGTCTTAGCGCATCACCCCGTCTCATCATCTCTCTAAGGAACAGGGAAGGCATGTTGACTAATCCAGTGTACATTATACGTCTTCAAAGATGATGAATTTGAATCACGCGTTACACCGGTGACTCCGATAATTGGAGATTACCGTAGCTCAACTCTCGGGAATGCAACCGTCCGATATAATAGCTCGCAAAACAGTACATCATTT